GACTCGCACCAAACTCCCTGAACTTCGGGGGCAGTCCCGGAAGCGGCGAAACTCTCAGGGACCCCCACCCCGGGCGGCGCCCCTCGACGACCTCTCCACGCCGAGCCCCTGCTGCCAAGTGCCTGGACTCCGAGGGTCTCCGCGCCCGTCCGGAGCGGACTGTCCCCAGCCACGATGCTCATGAGGAAAGTGCCGGGTTTCGTCCCGGCCTCCCCGTGGGGGCTGCGGCTGCCGCAGAAGTTCCTCTTCCTTCTTTTCCTCTCCGGTCTCATCACCCTGTGCTTCGGGGCCCTCTTCCTGCTGCCTAACTCCTCTCGCCTTAAGCGCCTCTTCCTGGCCCCCCGGACCCGGCCCCCAGGCCTGGAGGTGGTAGCCGAAGTCGCCGGCCACCCCCTGGTCCGCGAGCAGGAGTCGCCTCCCAACCCGGCTCCCGCTGCCCCAGCCCCGGGCGAGGATGACCCCAGCAGCCAAGCCAGCCCTCGCCGCAGGAAAGGGTGGCTGCGGCGCACCCACCCCACCCGGCCACGGGAGGAAGTCACGGCAGCCCGGAGCAGCAGCGTCGCAGCCCTGGGACCCCAGGACGGGAGTGTCCCTTTTAGCTTTGATTACAACGCCTTCCGGAGCCGCCTTCAGCACCCGGTCCTGGGAACTCGGACTGACCAGAGTAAAGAGCCCCAGAGCCTGGTTCGAACCCAGAGAGAGAAAATCAAGGAGGTAAGGACTCCTCATCCCCCAAGAGAAAGGCTTCTTTTCACACACCCCCATTTCCCCTGTCCCCCTTCACTCCTGGTCCTTCCTGGGCCCTCCAGACACACTCTGATTCCTCTGTGCTCCCAGACTTCCCACTGTCACTCCTCCCTGGCTGCTTTCCCACAGCTGGGCTCGGCTGATCACCCCCACACCTGACAGATGTCAGCTGGACCCCGGGACTGGGCTCCCCACCCTCACTCCCCACTGTGGATTTTCCAGCCCAACCTCCAGCCCAGGAGCTTCCGTCCTGGAGTTGCTGGTAAAGCTCAGGTTCATTACTGAACACCCTGAGTCAAGTGCCACATTCTTTCTCACTGTGTGTCCTTAAGTCCTAACTTTCCCCCAAACCTTTGTAGGACCTACTACCTGCAAAGCCAAGATTTGGGGGTGCATTTGCCATCCTGTATGTATTTTGCAATTTAGCCAGCACTACAAACCAGAGGATGTTGGTGCATTTTTTGCTGTTTCTGTTGAGCTTTGGAATAATTGCACATAATTGCATGTGATGCAGGATGAAGAGATCAATAAGGCGGTGGTAATGTTCTAGAAGCACCGAGGTTATTGACTTAAAAAAGCAGGTCTTGAACTTGTTCTCTGTAGGGATTGTACCGGAGAAGGGTTTAGAGGGGTCACTTTGAGTCTGAGTCTTAGTCTAAGAAACCAAAACTCATGCAGCCTTGCCAAGGCTTGGAGACTGTGGTCAGACCGCTGCTACTAACTAAATAGCTCCACCACTGTTAGTGCTGCCTGCCCCTGGTTTGTGCCCAGCAACACAGAGGGGGCTGTAGTGACACCCCCAGACCACGAGGGGGCTGCTGGCAAGCAGTGGGCCAGGGTCTCCTCCCTAGAAATGAGAGGATGTTTTCTGTTCCCACTGCTTCTGTCAGGACTTCTTGGTTTCCTGCAAAGGAGTCAGCAGGTCTGTCCTGGTTTCCAGGGGGAGCAGAAGCAATGATCGGGTGGGGCCTGCCCTGCCAAGACCTACTCAGAGCCTTGCAGAGTTTGGCCGTCCTCTCTCTCTCTCTGCCCAGATTGTCCTCCCTCCGAGCACCCATCTCTCCCCCACGTCCTATCTCTGCTGTTCTCCAGCCCTTCTGCACTAAGGCCCATTTGGAGACTGTGTCTTCATTAGCAAGTGCAAGATGTTTTGTGAGGTCAAGATAGGAAACCATCAAAAGGGCCTGTGTGTGTGTACTGCATGCTACAAATGATGTGCTCTCAGCTTCCAAATTCTTGTTGAAACCTCAAACACTAATTGGACCTTGCAGCAGCTAAGAAAGAGCATAATTTCTCCACTTTTGGTTAAGACACTGTGCTGTTGAATACTCGCCTGGACCCCTACAGCTCCGTTTCTCAAAGCTGTCCCTGAACACATTAGACGCCTGCCTCCAGGTCTTCTCAGAGGGCAGTAACCCCCAGTAACATTATATTTAAACTGTATGTATTTTCATGGGGTTCTAGGGCTGCCATTAGATTTTAAAAGGCTCCCCCAAAAGATAAGAGTTAACTTCTCTTTCTTCAGAAGAGGGGCTTCCTGCATTCACAACTAGATATGGCCCATTACTGTAAGCCTGGGCTTGGGTAGGGAGGGTGGGCTGGCTAGTGGGGACATGGCTCTGTCCCTCTAGACAAAGACAACTTCCTTGCCAGCAGAGGTCAAGAGTGGTGACTTGCTGCAGCCACCAAGTGGGTGGCAGGGAGTGTGCAGACTCTGCTTTGCAGGTGGGTGTAAGTAACATGTTGTGTGCAGGTCTCTGTGGTTGTAGTAACCGGAGGCCTGCTCACATGCACCTGCAGTTGATATGCTTAAAAGCCTTAAGCTCCCCAAAGGGAGGGAGCTGCATGCAGGCACTGTTCTATTTTGAGACCTATTGTCTCTTTAGGCTTCTTAAGTGTGATCCCTGTGCCCTCCCCACCCCCCTGAAAAAAAACACACATGAAAAAATGGGGCAGAGTTGGCAGAGTTTTTGGTTTAGCTGTTAACACCTAAGCCCTGGTGTCACACCTGATAAGGAGCACATGTGACTTCTGTCTCTGTTGCCTTCTCATTTACATTTCTGTCTGTGGTGTGTCCGGGGTAGCTCATTTTAGAAAAGCGCCAGTTTCCATAAAGGGACAGTTGCTTTCCTCTCTGGCTTGTTTATTTCCAGACATGAATTGATTAGACCCCAGGAACAGAGGGGAATGAACATCAGATAGACAGGACTCTGCTCTTATAAGACGAGTTTTTTTAAGTGAAAGTGAATAACAAGAGAGAGTCAGAGGCGGTGATGAATGAGGGTGAGTGACTACTGGACGAGCGGGCTCTAGAGCCACGAGGTATATTTATGAACACTCGAGCCCTCGAGCCCCAGGGTGGGTGTGGGATCGAGATCTTCGCTAACATGGGTCGATACTACATGGCCTGTGTGTCCGTGGATCAGGAAACTGTTGACACTAGAATCAACAATTCTTGGTTCACATTTTTTGGGAACCTTGGAGGAAGCAGTGAGGTGGAAAGGAGACTGAGAAAGCATGGGTTGGAGGCTCAGCTCCCTGTCAGCTGTCTGAATTTGGGCAAGCCACCTCCTCTCCTGCCCAGGCCTATTCTGCCTTCACAGAACAGGCTGAGGGTCACATGCACTCTTGCTCCAGACCTGGCTCCCGAGTGGGCCCAGTCTGATCATGGGCTCCGTTGCAGCAGGGCTTTTCCCAGCTCAGCGTTCAACACGCTATGAAGTGGGGGGCAGTGGGGTGTTGTTAATGGTGGTGGCAGCATTCTCTGCCATATGCCTAGCACCTAACCAGGAGTTTATACTCACTCATGTTATCAGTTAACTAATTTCGTATCACCATATCGAGCTTTCGAGATGGAAGTGGGCAGTGGCAGAACCTCAGCTCAGGATCGTGGAGCACGACGGGCTTGATACGAACTTAAAATGCGTATTTAGGAGCCGTCACTTTCAGCTCTGATGATCGTTCAGGAAATTCTTGGTGTGATTATCACAGGGGAACTTGACCACAGTTCGGTTTCTCAGATTTACGGTTAATAGACTTCTCACTCAAGACAAGAGCTGGGAGTGAGTGTAGAGCTTGTCAGGGTTACATCCCAATAAAAGGATTCAGACTTCCTGTCTCCCGGTAATGGGCCTGGTTGCTGATCTGGGGAACCTCAGCTGTCCCTTCCAGTGAAGGAGCCTTTTGCTGAAAGGAACTGGGCAGTCTGGGTGAGGCAGTGAAATCACGGTATTAGATCAGGCTTGCCCTCAGCCCATGTGAAGTGGGTTGAATTCACCCCTCCCCCTCCGTGGATCCCGTAACTGTGGTGTGGCATTCCCACTGAGAATCCTGCCAGGTTCCATCCTAGCCACGCTGTCCTTAGGGCACGTTTCTGTCTATCACTGCGTCTACGGTATCCCCGTCAAGTGACGAGGCTGGTGTTTAGGGGACTCTTCATCTCTCCCACCTGCTTATTGTCTTGTTTCCCGATCTGCCTGAGCACCTAGAATAGTGAGGATAGATACCTGAGCACGTACTGAGAGAAAAGATCTAAACTAACAAGGTTGCTGGTGGTAAAGCCTGGGTCTTCTTCCTAAAATAGGAGTCAGTGAGTTTGGGGGCCTTCACTGCTTCATGACCCAAGAGGTCTTTTATAAGTTGCAGTAACTTTCCGATTGCAAGTCTAACTTGAAGGGAGTGAGGAAGTGGCACCCAGGAGAAAAACTGTTCCTGCCCAGGTATCATGAGACATCTGGGGATGTCCGAGTGCCTCGGGGGCCTGTGACTTGTCAGCAAGAGCCCAGCTCTTGTCCTCAGGCCTGCTACTCTTGAGCCCCAGGAGACTGCCGGTTAGGATAGGTGACTGTCTGAGTAAGTCATCTTAGCATGTGATCTTTGCTCCCCATTAACAGGCTGGTTCGTTAGTCATGTGTGGTTTCTCTGTATATCTGATTTATCTTTGTTAGAGCCAGGGACAGGTAGGAGAATTAAAAGGTTCTGTTCTTTGTAGCATAAGAATCTGAGCCTGTGAGCTACTCGGGATAATTCATATTAGGAGCACCTCAGATTTAAATGGCTTTCCCTCCAGGCGCTCTGTTTAAGTTGAAAATCCATTGAACATTGTTTCCTTCCCCCTGCCCCATTCTTCACTTTCACACCTGTCCTGGTCTGTTACACACTTAATATAGACAGGAAGGCTGGCCTGCAGTAACCGGGCAGGTCCCATGGGAAACCCTGCGCGCCTCAGCCCAGCCACACTCCTCAGCCCAAGAACTGAGCGCTGCAAATGGAATAAAGCTCAGAGCATGTCCCCACCAGGCGTAGGACCAGAGTTGGGTGAATCTCTGCCTTCACTCTGAATTGCTCCAGCATTTTGGGGAATTGGGTGTGGGCATTCCAGGAACACTGAAGCCTCATCTCCTTAAGGCTGCTTAGTGTCAGGTCTAGAAACAAATAGTACAATGACTTTTAAAAGTCAGCTGTTTATTTCACAGCATAGTTAGCAGGGGTGTGAGAATATAGATTCCCCAGTGGTTTTCAGAGTGAATGATTTACATCCGAACTCAAGAAATGCCTTTTCTCTCGCTTTCCCAGAAGACTGATCCATTACTCCACCAAAAATAAATATCGTGATATATATCAGGCATGCTTTGCTCAAAGGGACTCATATCTTTTCTCATATTGAAAAAAATAAATCAGGCTCGCAGACTGGAACGCCTGTGCGAGGGAGCTGTTCGGCCACCTTGGTGGACACCTGCCCCTTGGGAATAGCCTGTGGCCAGGAGGCACCTTCCTCCACTTCCTAAGCTGAGTCTGCTTGGTGGCACCGAGGAAGTACTCTACCTACTGTCATCAGCCAGGTCAGGGAGGCCTTGGTGAGGGCAGGATTTATGAGAAGAATTTCCTCATGGGTCTTTATGACATGACTTTACAAGAGGGGTCATTAACCCAAGCAGAGGAACTGTGAAACTCAGACTTGATGAAAA